GAAACGGGTGTGCCGGAATTGTATCCAGAGGCCAGATAAGGGGAACTCCAATTCCACCGCCTTTGGAATACATCATACAAGTTCTACAAATTGGATCTCGCCAAGTAGGACTACAGAGCACAATCTTTAGCTAGAAACCTATATTCTTTGTGTTCAGAGGTCGAAATGTGATGACAGAGACCATAGGCCTATGTGACTACAGATTTACTCAGGCCTATTTCCTGTTTCAACATAGTCCGCGTTCGTTTTCTTATTGTATTGACATATTTTTTTATGTATGTGTAACCCCAGAGCAGTGACCTTCTTGACACGCTAATAGTCCCTCAGGTAACCAAGAAATTCCCAGGATATCACGGTACTCTAAGATTTAACGCCTAATAATACACAAGCAATTTTACATCGAAAAATCGCTTCAGTTTTTTAAATTATGTACGATCGTATACTGCTATCGCCTAGAGTCAATAAGGCCTCCGGGGCATTCTCATAATGAATATGGGTCTTCAATTTCGAGTACGACAAAGAGAGCTGAAAAATATATCCATTATAATCACGTTGAAGCATTGTTACTGTATAGGTTTTCGTTACCAATATTAATGTTTTATTGGCAGTAATATATACGTCATAAGTAATAAATTTTGCTACAACTAACGAAAAAAGCGAAATCGCTGTCAACTTGGAATTACTTGTATCTTAACTTACCGAAATTTACACATACAGTGAGCATTTCTACTTTGTTGGCAGTTTCCACGGTTCTGCGCTTCACGGCGACCTGGTCGCCGCTTATCGAGAGGCGAATATGAATTTTGCAGATAAATCAGCATGACTAACGGTCAAAACCCTGCCGCTGGTTCCTCGCTTTCCTGACATACCCATACAATCCAACTTGTCTTCATTCTATTGATTGTTAACCTAGATCGTAAGTGCAGTCCACATAGATACATTTCATAAATGATGGATGGTATATTGCACGGGGCTTTATTCACGTTACTTTTTCTTATTTCCAGAATTTGGAGTAGAGAACAACTTAAAGTACAGGGTGATCCGTTTCAGATGTCACAAAAAGAAACGAAAACGTTGCAGAAAATAATCCACTTTATTACCAGTTAATGGTACGTACACGTGTAGACGGGCACCACTTTCGTGCTCCAACATATTAACACTCAACATGACCGCCACGGCAGACGCGGCACAGTTCATACTGCGCGGACAAGTTGCAACACGTGGCTCGCAGCATTTCCGGAATGATTTGTGCATAGGTCGCGGTGATCTTCTGTCGGAAGTCAGCTTCATTCTGTGGTCTTTGTCAGTCCGCAAGTGACTTGACGTACACCCACACGAAAAAGTCTGGAGGCGTCAAGTGGTGAATTTGCGGGCCAAGGAATGGGCCCATCACTGCCGCACCATGACTGTTGCATGTATCGCGTAAAAACTGCCGCCACTTCCGTGAACTCTGAATCATGGCTTCCTCCCTGTTCCTGTCACGCACGCTGCTGCCTGTGTGAGGCATAGTCAGACCATTTTCCAGGAACATGTTGTACCTTATCACAAGGGACGTCTAGACAATTGTACTGGCGTCGAAAAACTCTCTGGGTTCTTGTAACACTCGAAAATTCCGCATACCACACGGCCACACGGCTGAACCGCCTGCAAACCCTGCATTCAATCTACGCGGACAGCCTTCCTTCTCAAATTCAAACAAACTACTCAGAGATACACGCATTAGCTTCTTGCATACAACGGTTTACTTTTCTAGCGTCTCAAATGGATTACTCTGTATAACGACGATTTGAGGTAAAAATGTCCGAATAATTTACAAAGGAGATTTATTCACGAATAACGGTCAGCTTAAATGTTATAAAGACGCTGAAAGGAAACAAAGTTTGAGGATACAACCTCCCATCTCCTGACGGGAAGATACACAATCAAATAGACCATATATTAATAGATAGGAGACGGCACTCAAGTATACTTGATGTCCGATCATTCAGGGCAGCAGATTGTGATACTGACCACTACCTGGTCGTGGCAAAGGTTAGGTAAAGACTGGCAGTGAGCAAACAAACATCGCACAGAGTTCACATGTAGATGTTTAATCTCAAGAAATTAAATGAGGTAGAGGGTAAAGAGCAGTATCGTGTTGAAATCTCAGATAGGTTTGCAGCTTTGGAAAACTTGAACACTGAGGTAGATGTTAATAAAGCTTGGGAAACTATTAGAGAGAATATAAAAATGTCTGCCAAAGAGAGTCTAGGTTATTATGAACTGAAGAAGCATAAGCCATGGTTCGATGAAGGATGCTCAAAATTATTAGACCAAAGAAAGCAGGCCAAATTGCAATGGTTACAGGATCCAAGCGAGTTAAATGGGGATAATGTGAACAATATAAGACGTGAAACCAGCAGGCATTTCAGGAACAAAAAGAGGGAATATCTGAAAGACAAAATTGATGAGCTTGCAATGAACAGTAAGAACAAGAACATTAGAGACCTGTATAGAGGAATAAATGACTTTAAGAGGGGTTACCAGCCTAGCAGTAACTTAGTGAATGATGAGAATGGTAATCTGCAAGCAGATTCCACAGCATTTGGAAAGGCGGAGGAACTACTTCTCTCAGTTATTGAATGTATGTACCGTACATGGGGTCAGTGACGTTAGGCAGATAGAAATACATAAAGCTAGGTCGTTAGTAGCCGATCCTAGCACTTTTGAGTTTTAAATTGCTATTGCAAAATTTAAGAGGTATAAATCGCCAGGTAGTGATCAAATTCCGACAGAACTTATTCAAGCAGGAGGCGAAATATTACGTTCTAAGATCCAAAAACTAATTAATTCTATTTGGCATAAGGAAAAATTGCCTGATCAGTGGAAGGAGTCTATTATTGTACCAGTTCACAAGAAGGGTGATAAAACTGACTGTAGTAATTATCGGGGGTTATCACTGCTATCAACTTCATACAGAATTTTATTCGATATTCTTCTCTCAAGGTTAAGTGCATATATAGATGAAATTATTGGGGATCATCAGTGTGGGTTTCGACGCAGCAGGTCAACAACAAATCAGATCTTTTTCATTCATCAGTTACTGAAAAAAAAAATGAGAGTACGATGAGACAGTACATCAGCTATTCCTAGACTTCAAGAAATCCTATGATTCAGTTAGGAGGGAAGTATTGTACAATATTCTAATTGAGTTCTGGATACTCATGAAACTTGTTAGGTTGATTAAAATGTGTTTAAACGAAACGTATAGTAAAGTCCGTATACGTAAGCACTGGTCTGATAAATTTCCTATCCAGAATGGTCTTTATTGCCACTCCTTTTCATCTTTACTTTAGAATATGCCATTAGGAAGGCCCAGGGAAACCGGGTGGGACTGAAATTAAGCGGGACACCTCAGCTGTTGGTCTATGCCGATGATGTGAATCTACTGGGTGATAATGTAGATACCATAAAGGAAAACACACAAACTCTAACTGACGCAAGTAAAGAGGTTGCTCTAGAAGAAAGCACACAGAAAACTAAGTACATATTACTGTCTCGTCACCAAAATTCAGGGCAGAATCATGACATAAAGGTAGGAAACAGATGTTTTGAAAATGTGGCACAGTTCAGATATTTGGGAACGATGATAACAAATCAAAACCTGATTCAGGAGAAAATTAAGAGGTGACTGAACTCGGGTAATGCTTGCTGCCATTCAGTCCAGAATCTTTTGTCTTCTTGTCTGCTGTCGAAGAACATAAATATTAGAATATACAAAACTATAATTTTGCCTGTGGCTCTGTATGGGTGTGAAACTTGGTCTCTGACATTAAGGGAGGAACACAGACTGAGGGTGTTTGAGAACAGGGTGTTGAGGAAAATATTTGGACCGAAGAGTTATGAAGTGACAGGATGTAAAATTTGAAGTTTTCACGACGGTTACGAAGAAGAAAGCAATCTTCTGGGATGTGGCGCCGGGTAGATATTATGTTTGACCGACGTTTCGAAGGAACGTATCGCCTCCATCTTCAGGGTATAAGAAAAAAAGAAGGAACTCCGTGAGCGAGGAACCAGCGCGTGCAGGTGCTCACAGAGTTTCTTCTCTTTTTTCTTCTACCCTGAAGATGGAGGCGATACGTTCCTCCGAAACGTCAGTCAAACACGATATCTACAGGGCCCCACATCCCAGAAGACTGCTTTCTTCAAGTGACAGGATGTTTGAGAAAACTGACTAGTGAGGAGTCTCATAACTTGTACTCTTATCCAAGTATAATTAGAATGATGAGGTCAAGGAGTATGAGATGGGCAGGGCATGTAGCACGAATAGACGAGAAGAGGAATGCATATAGGTTATTGTTGGGAATGCCAGAAGGAAAGAGATCGCTGGGAAGACCAAGGCGTAGGTGGGTGGATGATATTAAAATGGATCTTTGAGAGACAGAATGGGTTGTTATGGACTGAATTGATCTGGCTCAGGATAGGGGCTAGTGGAGTGCTCTTTTGAACATGGTAATGAACCTTCGGATTCCATAAAACGCTAGGAATTTCTTCAGTAGCTTCACAATTGGCTGCTTCTCAAGAAGGGCTCAGCTCCATGACTGATTGAGTTACTAAAGTAAATGCAAGTACGCAATGTCTGTAATCAGTATATATGCTAAGAGAGCCTTTGAATGTTTTATGAAATCTGTAGCTATTATTGACACTAAAACAAAATAGAAAACATATTAAAGAAATCTGTTTCAGATGATGTGAATATACTGCACTAATGACAGAGGGAAGTGTTCATTTGCGTTGTTAAATACTAATGTCTGTACATTTCCACGTTTTTATTTCGCGCGCGTACGATAGCATTTTTTCATGAAAAAATGGCCAGTAGATGTCGGGCTTTGCTTCGAAAAGACAGAACACACGAAACTTACACAGCATTTTAAAAAGGAAATACTTTTTCATCTCAGCGACTATGTTATGAGGTAGTTATTCAATGTTAAAATAAGCACCAGTAATGTGGGTGACTAATAAAGAATGATATTTTGGAGCAGGAACAAAGGATACCTTGTGCTGCATCAAGGAACGGAAGACACTACTGAAACGGAGCGTGATAAGTGAAATAACTTTCCTGTTCCCTTCTTTGTAAAGCACGCCGAGAATTCCATTCATTTGTCCACAGTGTGTCAGGCAAGTAGTCTCTTGCCGGTTGGCACAGTAGAAGCAAGAAGAAACGTGAGTGGTTGCTAAGGAGCTAAGAAGTGTTGTTGCTACTCTTGTGAGGTGCTCTAATACAGGATGCTTTGAATACCTATGAGAACTATTTAGGATATATAACCATTTAACCTGTCTGAGCTGTTTCTGACAGAATAAACTTGAGGTTTAAACGTCATTTAGAGTAAGTAACTTACAAACTACATTTCCTTTGTTTAGGTTAAGAGATCACTTTGATCACGTGAACGCAGCATTGTTGTCAAAAGTAAATTTCTTTTGTCTTTAGTCAGTATTGCTGTGTATATTGGAAAGGTTCGGATTTTATTTGAATTGTTGGAAGAAAAATAAAATTTAGGAGCGTTCTGAGGTGTTTTATTATGAAGATGCCAGCGTTGCATGGTGCATCTAGTGTGAAAATTCCCTGTCAGCTGATTTTGAACATCGATACTGCGGGACCAGCTAAAGCCAGTTCATATGTACAATACGTAGTTGCGTCACAGTTTAAGCACAATAAGATTACGTTGATCAAAAATATATGCTGACGGTGTGTTACGTATTACAAGGAAATTGTACGAAATTGTGTTTTATAACTAGTATTCGTCTGATAGTGGTTTCAAGACAGTGGTGTGAGTAGGTGCGCTTTGGTTATTTTAAATATATACGAATTCGAATCATCTCCGTCCATTGTTGACGTTAAGATTTCATGGAGCGTTCTCTCCACGTCCTCCATATGCCTTCATGGTATGGTACTAAGTACATCGATGACTTAATTATTTGAAGCTCCGATAACGGGACCTTAGGCCATTTAAGTGGCAGAAACCATGCGAGTGGTTTGACGTGCCTGTGCAATCAGTACGGTTACTGATATAATATTAATCACGGATGTTACTGTATAGTACATGCTGTTGGTAGTCGTGGCTCCTTTAAAATTTCAAATAGAATTCTTGGGTAGGTGAGCTTCTCAACACTTTGAAATAAGGGTATATTCAACGTTACCTGTCGCGTTCATAACCCACTTTATTCGTGCAAAGCCTCTCGCCCCTCCATTTGTAAGACGATAACAGATTTCTTTTTACCGCATCTCCGGAACTTCGATATGATGCGTTCAGTTTTCGCCATTGATCAAATTCCTGTTTCGGCAGCAGTACCTACCAACATTGCAGTTTTTATGTTACCCGTGGATCAGCTGATACCGTTCCAGAGCACACTTCTGTTACGCCGTGTGGTCCGGTAGATGTTTACCCACTTTTCGGAGGAACACCGATAGCCGTCTGTACGATCATGGCGCCACATTTTATAAGCAGTAATTGTATTCCCCTCCATGAAGACCATAAATTTCACAGAGAAGCAGGTAGAAGTTATTTTTAGAGTTAGTGGAAATTCTAATTTTAGGAATCTCCACCATGTCTGAAATTCTGTCCATATATTGAATTCACACATCGAAGTTGTTCGTCTCTTCTTATTATTTAATTAACACTACATGTTTCAGCCTACATGACCATCATCAGGTGTATAAGATTGTAGATGAAAACTGCTGCACTGTGGAATTTTTGCCTTTTGTCCAGGGTTCAATGGTCAGTCCAAGAAATGCTTGCAGTGATTTTCTGCAGTGATAACGTCATTTGACCGCAGAGGTGGGATCAACTAACAGTTCCAGAAAATGCATGAGTTTTGGGAAAAACGTGTATAATACAGAAATAAATGGCTTAGAAATATTTTAATTACTGTTGTATAGCAGCAATAGCATATTTAAAATGTAATATTATTATTTTTCTGTTTTTGTTTGTTAAAAAAAAGGAAGAAAAATGGGTGAGGATAATATGCAGGCTAGAGCATGTAAGACTTTATGAACACATAAGCACAAGCTGAGTGGTGAATTTGTTACATGGCGTCCACATTTATACTCAGGAGTATACAAAATGGAACCCCATCGAACCCCAGATTCGGGTGCTAGCGTATTGCTTTTGAAAGGAATTGAATGAAACTTGATGTATGTGTAGGGGTGTAGAGGGATCCTTTTGTGACAAATGCAGGTTGTGTTTATAATTATTTAACAACGTGTTGCCCACTGCATAGGTTTATATGTGTGTCAGAAGTTGAGAAGAACATGAACGCGATTAAAGCCCGTGTCGAGAAAGTGTACTAACGTTTTTTGAGAGAGACTGAAGAAAAAAGTCCTTTGTTGTAACAGCCTGACGGGTAATATTATTAAAGATGGGACGATAAGATGTAGTAGACATTGATGCTGACTTGACAAGGTAATTGTTTCTACATGCTGTGGAAGTTTGATGATCACACGAAACTCGATCTTAATTTGCAACTTCAGAAATTGCATTAATAGTAAGAAATCCCAATGAACTTGTATTCACTGAATCCACTTTTCTTATTTTTGGAGAGAACAAAAGTGAAATTTTTGTTGAGTATCATGTAAATTTTCACCAAGGGTTTACTTAAATGAAAAATATATTTTTATGGAAAATGATAATGCCCCAAAAATGGTATAACCACTTTTTGGGCGAAGTTTTGTTTTGTCATTATTTCGCAACAGTGTGTACTCTGAACAGACTGTACATGAAAGGCGTCTTCAGAATTGAAGTGCAGCCCTACTCGGCCCCATTGGCCAGCGGTTAAAGTGGTAGTTGGTATTCTTTTAAACACGAATTTAAAAGTGTTGCCCAGCGCAATTTCACTTCATTCTTGTCTGTCCTAAGAACCGTATCCATCCGCGCGTCCCTGTCCAATTTCAATGGAGATATCGTTACAGTAACTTATAATCGACCTATTTGCGCTTAACTCTGTACGAATTGTGTGTTATTATTAGAGGCTCAGATAGCTTCTTCCCAGTCATCAACACAAAGACAACGGTTGCTGCAAATTGTGTCAACACTAGGACCATCACTAAACTTAGGTGAACGTGAAAGCCTGGGAATTTATTTGAGAGAAATGGAAAAATAACGAAAACTGAAATATTTATGTTTCAAGAAACTTTGAATGTGAAGTGAATGTTCCTTGCATTTCTGTGTTGCGAGTATAGAGCTCGAGTTTGGGCGGTTTGTTGCTAGACCAAACTTTTGACCAGAAGAACAGAGAGAGAGCTGATTGCAGAGAAATCTTTATGTTGTCAACCTGTTAGTATACACTATTTCTTGATCAGTTTATAAGGAACAGTTGCCCAAACGCGTAAGAAAAAGAAATCGCCAGATTTTGTGAGACGTGCCTTTTTTAAATTCTTATTTTAGTGATACCCAGTAGTATTGCTTAGAGCCTGTGCAGGGCACATAGACCCATATAAAAGTCACCAACTCATCAGGTATCCGGCTTGAAAGGACGAAATGCTTTTAACAAAAGTCACAGTGTGCGATTCGCCACTTTCAGGGTAGTATTGCTGTGTTATGGAATACAGATAAAGTCGGTATCGACCCTTTCTAAAATGTATTTTTTTCCATGAACCTAGGATCCAGTCACTGCTTGAGCTGAGATTGTAATACTCGTGTCATATCGTGAAGACCCTGGGAAGGATGAAAAAAGTTTTTGAAGTCGGAACCGACTTCATTGCGTATTTAAGCATATGAAGTGCTGAAGAGGCAGATCCTGTCATAACTAATATACAATTTTGATGCATGTTGACCCCCGTAAACTGTACTGCTGCTACCGATTTTGGGCGCAGTTCACGTTCTTTAGGTGGCAAAGTGAAACAGTTAGTTGATTAAGAATTGCAATAGCCGATAGTCCGGTGGAAATACTGGTGCACGTGAAGAAGACGAAGCGCCCTATTCTTTTCACACACTGTGACTTTCTTTTTAGAGGGGCGTAAAACGAACGTAATAAATATCAACGTTATTCTAAGTATTTTACCGATGAATTCAGTGGATATGAAGTTGTCCGCGTCCCATCGGAAGTGATCAGTGAAGCTGAGAAACCGCAAGATCAAAGAAATGATCGTCATACCGCCTTGGAGAGACTTTATAGTGCCTTTACTTGAAAAGTAACGTCACTGATCATGAGGACTTCGCTTAAGTACAAGATCCAAGAATGAAATCAATGGAGAATGTCAGGGAGGAGCTTCGAAAACCCAATCATAAAAACCGCATTAAAATCGTGTTAAAAGTGAAGGTTCCATTTAGGAGGAAAACTGTATGCTGTCATAACTGATACGGTTTTTATTGGGCAGTTAGATTTGTCCAGTAATCTGAAATTTTAGGTTCTTACAGCGGTGACCACGAAGGTACTGATTTCTGGGAATTCACGCCGTTTAGTTTGGTGTAGAAGTATCGACTCTTTTGAGAAATGCGAAAGATAGTGGCTGCAATTTCGGCGGAACCGCTCGTACCTGTTCTCACAACTGAAGACAAGTCGGACGTGTAAGCTGCATTTCCTTTTCACCTGTGCATGTTTTCTGCGTGGAAAGTTGAAGAGGACATTCATAATATTTATTTTCACAGTCTGTACAAAATAAGAACAAGTTCTTAATAATATTATACAGAGAGTTTTTGTTTGTTGACTTTGTTGACCAGTTCCATGGCTCTGCGCTTCACGGCGACCGGGGCGCCGCCGGCTGCGAGGCGCATACGAATTTTGCCGATGAATCAGCGTGCCTATGGCCGATAACCTTTGGAATGAAGGGAAGTAATTAACTTGTGGACCGCTTGACGGCATTATGTTTCACGGCAAACAGCGCTATTCGTGCGTGAGAGTTTATTTATGAGTGGGCAGCGGTAGGCAGCAGGTATCAGCCCCAGTTGCCTCTTGTTCTCAGTTGCAGTTAATGAGCAGCGCCGTGTACTTCAGAGCAACGAGTATTGTTGCATGGCACCTGCGTGAAATACAGAATCTGCTAGAGAGCGTCAGCAAAATTTAGTGATCAAAAGAGTTCCCAGCAGACAAACAGTTCACAATTTGGTGAATAAACTTAGAACAACGGAATTCTTAATAGAGAGGAAACAAAAAACGTAAGCGCCGAGTGCTTACTGAAAAACTAATGACAGAAGGCCCAGACTTGACATTACACCTGTTAAAATATTTAAGTTAAGATGTAGGTTTGTTTTACAACTGGCGAAAGAGCTCCAGGGGCTGGGTGGACCCCAGACCCGGTCCGTACCCTATGGAGAAGATTCTTCTGCAGGGAATCGAATCCCAGTTTGTCAGCCATCCAGACCATAGCCTGTAGCTATACCGACTGAGCTA